CCAATGTTTCCAAAATATTTATGCCATGTGATTTGCTTGCTTCCATCTCTTAGAATACCTGTCATTAGATAGAGTGTTAGTGAATTCTGCAAAGTTATCTCTCAATAGTAATTGTTTTGCTGGTGTTATTGCATCGAGATCATTCGAATCGTCTGTAACGGGAATCAAAGGTTGGTTGTTAATTATACATTCAGCCTGTATCATAAAAGTTTCAAGGCATTCATCTGTTAAATATTTTTCCTTTACAAGAGCACTCAATACCCTACGTACAGAGTGAATCATGTGCTCCCATACTCCTCCCCAATGACTAGAAGCTGGAGAATTGAAATGCCAGTCAATCCTGTACCAAACCCTGGAGACATTTTCTTGGTTCACGTTCAGCCCACACCAGATTTCATCCATCATCACTGTATATCTCTTTTGAGGAGCCTCTCCTACTGACAAACCTCATTAGTGCCATGATAAATGAGCATGTAGTAAAACTATATGCCACCTCTAGATGCACAGCTCTCAACCACATCGCTCCTCAGTACTTTTACCATGTTTAACCATAAAGGGTCCAAAATAATCTACCCCAACTAATAAGAGTGGATAGTCACCACCTCCATTGGCCGGATATCATCAGCAACAGCCTTTTGTGGGAGAGAACCAACCAGCTTCCAGCTGAAGAGGAAATTAGGAAAAGACGATGAAAATGGATAGGACATACATTGAGGAAATCATCAAACTGCATTACGAGACAAGCGCTAACTTGGAATCCTGAAGGGAAGCGGAAAAGAGGAAGGCCAAAGAACACATTACGTCGGGAAATAGAAGCAGATATGAAAAAGATGAATAAGAACTGGAAAGAGCTTGAAAGGATTGCGCAGGACAGGGTTGGATGGAGAATGCTGGTGTGCGGCCTATGCTCTTTCACGAGGAGTAACAGGCGTAAGTAAGTAAGTAAGTCACCACCTGCTATCCTGACCGGAGATAATGATGCCATTAGTTGCTCAATGAAACGAGCGTTCCTCCTTTTACAATAAACACAATCCTTTATCACCCTCCTCATGGCTATACCACTTCTTAGCACCCGAAATCTTTCTCGGACAGTTGCCACTACCTGTGTAGCTCCATGTCCTTCCAAAATATGGTAATACTGTAGAATCAAATTTGTAATTGTATGCTTTGATAGTAATATTATAGGATGCTTCCTCGACTCGGGCCAGGGACTAATTTGATGTCGGCCACCAACACACAAAAATCCGTTTATCATCAGTGGATTTAAAACTCGTAACGGTGAATTTGTTATTTTTACCTTGCTAATGGTATCAGACGACAACATTTCAATCTCTTTCCGAAATACTATGCGTTGGACATATCGAATTAAATCTAAACAAGCTAAATTTAACTAATCAACTCTGAGCATACCCACTTGTTGAGACAGATTAGTTCTACCAGAATGCATTATCAATAAATATCATTAAATAATCTAGTCAAATCTGAATAATAATTAACAAGTAGATCGACAGTGGATTCTTCAACCATTACATGCCTTTTTAATTCCAAGAGATGCGGTTTATGACCTTGTACATCTGCATCAGGCCAACAATTCTTTAGTTTCTCCAATAAATGTGGACCCTCTTAACATACCTTGACATCATCGATTTTGAACTTGACCCCTCTGGATAAAAAGTCCGTCCAAAACTTAACTTCTGCAAACTTAATATCTAACTCGGACTGCAGCTGGGACTCCGTGCGAGCTACTAACACTGCTGCCGTAAGTTCCAAGCGCGGTATAGTTTGAACCTTCAAGAGGGTTACTCTTGCCTTAACCGTAATAGGACGAGAACATAATTCAGTGTCATGGATGTAAGAGAGGACGTATGCTACTGAACCATATCCAGTTTCCGAGGCATCACAGAAAATATGAAGTTCCAGGAGCGAGCGGTCTGATTGCGGGAACAATACACAACGTAGAATACCAACGTTCTCAACCCTCTGAAATTCACTTGAAATCCCTAACCGGCGTTTGCTTTCCTCATTTGGAATCTCTTCGTCCCGTCCTAAACCCAAATTACCTAAACGCTGAAGTAACTGCTTCATGGGAAATATAAACGGTGCTAACAATCCCAAGGGATCGTAAAGTGAGGCTACATTCGACAATATACTTGTAAACAGTTACCTATCCACTTGGTAAGTCTGAACCCATCTTTTCTGAGGAGTAAGCCAAGGGTTTTTGCCAGCTCAATTGCATCCTGCACGTTTCTTAGAATGTTGACTACTGTATAAAAAGCTCTTATTTAGCAAGTCTTTAAGATTCATCGTAATCATTCCGTTGTACCTTGGTGGAAAGATGAAGTCGCAGTAACGGTCTCAGATATTTCATTAGGATTGCAATTCAAAGGAGGATGATTTTGCTTTCATATGTTTTTAATGATATTTGTAGCAAAGCTATCAATTTTTACGACGTTTAGTCTATTACCTCCTTCCTCAAGCTTGCCTTCTTTTGAAGTAATGATCTTGGTTGCTCTTCTCTTTGAGAGTTTGAACTTTTCTAAGAACGTACTGATCTGCTTAGAGAAACTTCTAAGGGCATATTTTAAACAATGACAAATTTGTCATCCACATATCTAAGCCAGATGCGTGCTCTGATGTCAGCGGCAAAAATAAGTGACTCAGTATGGGATGTATAAAATTAGTACTATTAAGAGATGCTGTAGGTCCTACGGCTACTCTATTCGTCACTTTGAGGATAAATATCAGTGAGTTAAATCATAGTTTGAGAGATTTCACGATTGAAGTGGTTGTTAATGGATATCTGCTAGACAGAGTACTATCAAGCTCTCATAAACCATTAATGAAAACTTGACATCTATCAATTGGAACGCAAGTTCATAACGATACAACACCGTAGTTTACTATTGTTTTGCTTATGATGAGTCCATTAACTTAAATTCATTCGGTTCCTTCAAGACATTAATTAGATTTAAACAAGGTGGTTTCAGTATACTGCTTAGACATTCACACAAAGCATATGCAGGAGCTTTTGCGAAGCCCATTGTAACTCCTAAAGGAATGTCAGAATTATGAATATTTGATAGCTCACCATCTGAAACCATAAACTTAAATAGCTTTCATACACACAAACCAATAGAGTGATGTGTGAAACAGAATCACCTGGATATTGACATATTCAGGCATATAATGATTTCGATTTTATTAAAAACCTTGCATCTCAGTTCCTCCATTCTACTTAAACTTGAGTTAATTTTATTTCATCGGTTTGTTTACCCTGAAGAAGTGACATACATTAAGTCATCAAAAGTCAGAATTACAATGTCTTCTCATTAAGGTATCACAAATATGTCATTATTATATCATTGAGTTTTTATGCAATGATTCAGTTGTGTTTTGTGTTGCATCCTTTTACGTTAAACAGATTTGTGTTCTTTTTTAATTCATTTTTCCGGCAGACAGAAAACTCACTTAACATGGGGGTGCTGATCTATTATGATCTACCATAAGAAACCCATAATATCCTGAATTATATAGGATTCCCTCTAAATTCTGTTTTGCTAATTTAAAAGTTTAAATATCCCAAATTTACCAGTATTCAAGTGCTTTGTTTATTTTACTTACTTAATGAGTTACCCATAGATACTGTAAACCACAAACTCTTTCTTTCATACTATATAATCAACTATCTGTCATTACCATCTCCAAACTATGTATATTTATCACACTTATCTCATGGTCCATACCATTAGTTAAGTTCATAGCAGCGTGATATACTGAATGGATATCTAACCCATAAGATGAAAGCTTCGTTCGTCTGATTCGCTCGTAACATGGAACCTTTAGAGACGATGCATTGTAAAAAGTTGTGTAACATAGAGTTCGGCTTAAAGCAGTGTTAAAACATAACACAAACATAAGAGAACCTTACATCACAGAGGAAGGAAGGGTGAGGTTCCTGACGGACAAGTATGATGGTGGGGAGATAAATTCAATCCGTTAATGTTCTTAGGGCAGAACATGTTGTTCCTTTAGATGTAGATAATAAATGGTGCTGATGTTACCTATCTGTGCCGACCCCTCGTTGGCTCATGTTTATAAGATTGAAGTTTAGCGTTTTACTAAAAATCCCGATTACAAGCAAAGCTGGGCAATTATTCAAAAAATGAGTCCACTAAAGTTGACACGGTTATTCAAAGTTTAACAGAACCCTTACATGTTACGCCTATATAATTAAAGTGTGCCAACCTATTCAAATCAAAAGTCAGAAGTGAAGTGGTTCATCTAGTGGTCAGCATCTAACATGGATTACCCTTTCATCGTATCAAGGCACTATAGCTGCTTTGAAGACTGTATAACGCGAAGGCGTTATCACAGAAATATATTAGTAGGACTAGGTACAAGGGAGAGAATGCGACCATCATATGGGCCAGTCCATGATATGCAATGAATCGATTCGCGTTGGTTGTCCTCGAATTTGACGATGATAGGTGAACCGTCCGATATTCAGTGACCTGACGGCCGGTTGACCTGACCAGGGCCAAGTGAGATTTCACTGGCTCTACACGTAGTACAGTGTGCCCACTCATGATCTAGTGCGGGTGCGTCACTAGGCGCCATCAGCTAGAAGTGTCCAGTAAAACCAATGAGGTCAGCATCAAATGTCGAAGAATTACAGAACAATTCATTTTGGGAATTTATTTACCGCTACACCACTAATAGCCTTATAAATGTCATGGTAACCGAAAACATGTAATAATAATTGGCGTGGGATAAAGTTTCGGTTGTGTATCCAAGCACCGTGTTTTCTTTATTATAGTCTAGGGGTCTAAATAATCTAAAATTCTCCAAACCGATGGAGATCGATTATTCACTATTGGCTGATCCACCCGCGCTCCAGATTTATAAGAAAGTGTAAAAAGTAGATACCTACGTAACCAAGATCACTCTCTTATAATTCACATAAAGTCCAAGGAACAAAACGTTAGCCGATTGTCGTCTGTAAGGTTTGAAGTTTAACCGCTTAGATTACTTTCGTGCGCTACTTCTGATCACATGCAATGGATATTCAGGTAATGCTTAAAGGGATACTTAAATAGTTCCTTTTGAAATAGAAAGTATAATTATACTTTCTTAGGACGCATTTGAAGACCTCATGATCTCATCTTCCAATTATCCGACCGAAGTTATTGACTTGACTAATAGTGACACAGACACAAAACCCATATCACCAGCTGCTATTCGGCGCCTTTCCAGAGAAAAGAATAAAAACACTTCAAAGGCACTTGCTGAAACCAACGGCTGTTCCAAAGATATGGGGGAGAACGATGTTTGTGATGAGGAAGATTTTGATGTCGAAGATGAAAGCATTACAGAACGCTTAATTGGTCTCTTAGAAATGTTTCCAGAGCCAGTACGTCGCGGTGTATCTTTTGCCTATAGTGCAGCTTCTGAAGGCGTTGTATCGGGTTATTCTCTCAGCAGATCGGTGACTTGGTTCTTGGTGAGCACAGCTACTGTATGTTTCCTCCCACTTATTCTGGAGCTAGAACGAGTTCAAACTGAAGAGCAAGAGGCAGTACAACAGCGTGCAATGATGCTTGGCCCTAGGGCTGCAGGTGGTGGTTCTGGCCTGGCCGGATTCTCAGCAGCAGTTCCTCATCTTACTCACATAGAACCCAAGTAGAAAACGTATTCTTTGTATGCATTTGTACTTTCCACAGTTATTATAAGTTAATACAAATACTGTTAAGCTAATAACAGCAACCCATATTTAGTTCACTAAGCCTTTACCGTTAATTTGTACGTGAGGTTGGAAGAAAGTTAGGGGTGGCCAAACCAAAATGTGACATCAGTACTTTAAATTACAAACTTCTAATCTTAGCCATGTTGGTAGATGCAGACTATTCAGTTGGGTGACATGGCTCAGAATCGATCACAATGTCGTAGGTGTATACACTCTTTGTCTTCCCTTAAGCTATGAGACTAAAATCGCTTCATATCTTTCTTTCTACGAACTAATTCTTGTACTATGTCCTTATATGTAATCTCTTTTATATATTACCACCACTGAATTAACTACTATGAATCCGGTGTTCATCTTGTTATGCTAATGATGTATGGCGACTTGGACCGATGCACATATGTGCCTGGTTCTACGTTGTAGCTGACTGACTGAGGTTATTTAGCCTAGTGTGTGTTCGAATTCATTACTTTGTATACATATTTAATGACAACGAATAATGGAGAAATGTGCACCGTTAATAATCACTCGGTTATTGCTACAGAACGTAAGACCACATACTGCACATGCTTATATTCAAGTCCGTTAAGTATGATGTTTTAATGATCTCTTTACGATTTTCGTCCTACTTAGTTCGTATTTTTCATTTGGTGTGGCACTCGACTAACTTGACACCCAAAGTTTAATACCTTGTGTTGGGTTGTTGGATAGCTGGACTACTTGAAATTGACAATGTAAGACAACTTATTGGGGGCCCAAAACTCCATACTTGATTTCCGCCGTGGGTATATATGGGGAAAATTTAGCTATTAATATGTCGAAGACTTGGAATTGAATGTCTGTAACCCGCTGCTACTTAATTGTTGGCTTAGTTTATTCTCTTTATCTGTTCACAGACATATATTTATACTTTATCAGCAGAGGGTTGTGTTGAAATCATGAACCGATCAGTGTTAGATCTATGATGAAAACTTAGTAGTCAAGCGATCTTACGAAACCGAAGGTCCTAAGTTCAAATCCGGTTGCACACTGACGGATCCAGGCTTTCAGTGATGGTCTAACATTGATCGGTTTATAATCTTAATAAAGATCTCACTTGTAAATGACCATTAACCTTTATTCTATGTAGCTAAGCTTATTGGATAGATATTTGCATGCTCGCTATGTTACAAATATCTACGTGTCTGATGTCTGAAACTTCACTATCAATATTCTATGATATATTTGACTCGGATTTACGATGACTTGTTCTTTAATCAAGTCATAGTAAATGTTACTTGTTACTCAGGGGATTATGGTCTTCGCATTTCCGAATAGTGGGGATTTCCTTGTGCCCTTACTTACATTCCAGCAAAGCTTGATATACTACATAAATAGCCGTATTTGGCTTTACACTTAGCTCTTCATTTAAAGTGGTACTAAAATTGATACACCGTGGCTCTCCGTACCGGACAATAAAATTAAAGGCGCTGCTTACAAATCAGGTAAATTATTGAAAAGTCAGGTATACGTACTTGAGATTTTGGATCCCAGTACTCCATATACACCCCATAATGTCCTTCCAAACCCTTTTGTCAATCCCGGGTGCCCTCTCCAAAATGTAGTGAACAAGAACACCAATGGGGACAATCGAATGTATTTGACAAATTTCAGAACTAGTTAGTAAAATCTAACAACCATATATTAAATGTTCAGTTTACAAAATGTCCATCAATTGTCTCAAATGACTCAGACGTCATTGTTTTTGCATTTTCACGAAAACCGCATGCTGTCTTCATTCTTCACTGTTCGGTCTTTTTGTCTCTCTGCTGTCAGACATTCTGTTCACGACAAACATCATATACTACTTATGTCTACATAAGTAGCACACACCACACTACTACTACCACCACATTTTACCACCCATCGTTTTTAGTTTTAGCTCGTCGTGCTAGTGCGGTATGACAACGTGGTCAGGCACATTTATACTAGCTTCTACGTTGTTGATGACTGTCTTTGTATCGAAAAATCGTCGACTAAATATGGGGCTGGCATACATGTAGACTAGTTAAAAGGCAATAATTGTGGAGTGGTTGAAGATCCGCTTATACCGTTATTTAGTTGTAGACTAATTATAATTATTATGTGGAAAAGTAAGAGCATGGAGACAACTGTAAGAATGTGAGATATATGTCATAAATTGTGTAAGAATTAATACAAAAGGGTTGATTAATTAGGTGAAGCTCAGGGAAAAAGCAAGAGATAATTAACAAGCATGGAGAAAGGTGGTGCATAATCAACTCATGCAATTGAAGTCACCAAAGCAAAGCAAAATCAACATTGTCCTTTTGTGTAGGTAGGTTCGGCTTGGATCTTCTAATAACAATGGCTCCAAATGGACGCAGTAAACTCAAATTCGTTTGCTTATTATTCCAAGAGATTTCTGGAGACTAACGTCATCACTAGGCAAACGATCGCACTACTAAAAATTTGTTTCCCGTTATGCAATGTATTCGGAGACGCAAACTATCCTTTGGCCTGTACTTGTAAACTAGTAGACATAGTTGGAAGTAGCTCAAGATAGGATTTAATTCGCAATTGACTATCTCAAAGAGAACAAAACGTTTGGTGTAGACGTTGTAGCCACTATATTATTTGATATTTTCATCTGATATACTTCTTAAATGTCAATAAAATCTGAGTTGTACTAATAACTTAGGAGTTTCTCCTTCAAGATTACTAATAATTTATAATCATTACTCAATTAGATAATTAAATAAATACTCTCACTTATCCATTGGGGTTTTTATTTCTCACGATCGCTTTGTAATTCTGTCTAAGTGTAAGAGCACAGCATGTGTGTGAACTGACTCCGAAAACTCATTTACGGACGTTGACGATAAATCTACTCTCTAACGGTCAACCACGGTGATGATTGGCAAGACTAATAAAAAACCCGTTTACAACTGACAACCCAGTCAACCACACAAGAATAAACAAACACAATTGGCAAGGTGTTGGTTTGCTGCTAGTTATCTCTTATCGAGTCATGTTTTGAGTTGTTTTAATAATCAGGTATTCACATATATTATCGCTTGGATAACTTGTCGTTCATCAGTCACGGTGAATAAATGTGGTCAAGTTATTTGACCATAATGTAGATAAAACATTTGATTTATACTACTAAATACATGAATAACTCAAAAAGTCAAAGTAAAATTATTTTTTTAAAAATTTATACTTTAGTTCTAATAATAAGTTATATTTGCAGCAATTATTTTTACAAGTAATATATCTTTTTAGTTAACGGTTTTTGGTGCACACAATTTATTCAACCTGTGATTTGGTGTCCAGTGTCCCAAACTTTGGTTAGCATAATAATCCATGGGATAGGCTTCGGATAAATCTTTAGGCCAAAAAACTTGCTCATTTAAAGCAGCAAATGCTTCGTATGGTGTGAGTAAAGGTTTAGTAAACTCAACACCCCAGTCAATACTAAGGCGAGGACATGCAACCTTGGAGCAAAAAAGAATAAGGAAGTAACTCTTTTGAGTCGACAAATTTATGCAATAAATGTAAAATGTTATACGAGCAGCAAGGATGTGTAAAATCTACACTTTATTGACTTGGAGTACGCAAATGACATTGTTGTGTTCGATGAGGGTGCTGGAAAAGTTCAGTTTTCTAAAAGTTTTAAGTGATGATGGAAGGATGGTTGGGATACATTTCTCCTCCTTTAGGTTCTAAATATTGCTTGAGGATTTATTTGAATCAATACATTTCTGGACCATACAGAGTAAATTCATTACTGATCCGTGACGGCACCTTCATTTAACTTGGAAATTTCGTAAGGGTAGTGAATAAGGTCTTGACATGGTTACAAGACAATTACTTGGTTTTTGTAAACATATATTACCTGCCGCGTCGGTTGATTTGTTTTTAGAAGCAAACATAAAGTGTTCCTGTCTGTAAAAAAACAGCCAGCGAAGATTGAGGACAAATGTACTTCAAATTATTGTCTGGGTGTGGTAAGACCACGTACTGAATGTAAGCACAATGTTTAAGGTAGAAATAGCAAGTCGACTGATCAGACTGTAAATCTTTGCCGACTTGGCTGTTTACAACATTTGCTACGTATGCCAAGCCACCGAAGTGCTAAGCTGGATAGGAGAGGAGCAGGTCTCAATAACGTATGAAGTGGCTAGACCAATTGTAAACATCAATTCATGAAGTCATTTACTGTCGACTTTGTCTTTATAGCAGTCGTTTGACGAATTAGTTCGATTATTCTGAGTGGTTGAGTTGAGGTTCTTCCAGCAAGTGTAATTGTAGATGAAAATAACGAGTTCATAACAAAGTTAATTTTGATGACGAAACGTCCAAAATCAAATGGAATGGCTTACAAGACATCAAACATATTATGTCGCCCATTGATAAAGTTGAGGATGTCTAGCACGAACCAGACAATTTATTATTGGAATACATCTTATAGTAAGTCGCGTTTCTAATTTCCAAGCCCATTAAAAGCATTTCAACCATGAAATCAGGTCATTTTAATGCTTAAGCCATTAGAAAATTGTCATACGCATATATGAATTAGAGCCTGAAAACGAAAAGTTAAGGATACCTGAATCCAGACGTCTACTTGTTCATCGAAAAGCGCTAATTTAGTTGGAATTATTTCAGACAGCAATAGTATAATGTAAGTCTTTCCTGATTTTTCCAATTCTGTCTGAAGTTGTTTCACAACAGCTGGTGACCCTTGTTTTCCGAGTGTACCTATATTAAAATAAAAGGAAAAATAGTACGGAAACAGTTTCTCAGTTGGATCTTATTGAGGTTAGAAAAAAGCAATTTCTTTGGAAAGAAAATGGTATTTATGAAAAATTTCTCAGTAAATGGTTAGTGAAGGTTTGATCGATTTGGAGATAATTTTCTCCACAGTCTACTTCCAGCTATAGAAACAGTGAGAACCAGTAAACACCGGATGGTTGTTTTAATAAAATAAATATTCAAGAGATGTACCTACGCTTCATATGAGATCAGACAAAAGCTCTCCAGGTTTCGTATTTTTTTACCTAGCCATTAGGTCGAAGTTCGTTACCTCTGGGGCGACCGATCCGGCAGAAAATAGTTTTGGAAGAACATTATCAAGTAAATACAGTGCAAAGTTATATAACCAAAATGATGATAATAAAGACATAAGTTGTAGTTTACTTGCCCAATATTATCCCAAAATTGACAGCATTTCTTGCGGTATCAACAGCTTTTTTTCTATGTTTACGCATTTCTTTATGATCGTAGTATTCACGCGTAAATGACTTATTGTAGGGATCATAACGATAAGCAGCTAACAATGGATTAGATATCATAATAGATTCGAGATGAAAGCGACCATCACCCACGTAGATTAAGGCATCAACACCTTCTACCTGTTTAGGAAAAAATATACAGATACGATCGGAACAGCGATTAAAAATGTTAAAGAGCAAACAAGGAAAGTGATAAGATAAACTCTTGCGAATATTCCGCTTTGTGATTCAACCAGTTGTTCACGGGTTCGAATACCGTCTCCCCCTCGAACTTAGGTTCAGACAGCTGAATAGTGTTGCTAAGTTTTAAAGTAAAAGCAAACCTCATGAAATTATACTTTGATATTGAGCTGTTTGACACAATGAGCGATTCATAAAGGATAAGAAATATCACTAGCAACTTAAAAATATTGAGGTTTTATGTACAGCCCGATTCATGCAAGGCTGTAATTTAATAAGAGCGATTCAGATGGCTCGTGATCGGACTTGCAGACAAAATAATAATGTGGATTAATGATCTGACATTTTTCTTGGCACAATTGTAAGCTCATCTATGTTCAACCACTGTACGATGCATCTACTTAAAAGGAGAGATCATTATTACTTGATCACTAACTTTAAAATACTGACATGTTAAACAATTAAGTGAGGAGTAAAGTGGTTCAAAAAATGTCTTTATGAATAATGCAGTTGGGACAAGAGGATGAGATGGTTGTCAGCTAAGATGGTCAGATCACTTCACGGGTTCGCTAAACGAATGCTTACTTTGAAATGACGCGGCAGACTGAGATATATGGAGAGTTTATGAAGATCTGACCATTTAGCACTTGACACCTAGATACTAAATTAAACTATATCAAAGAAGACACAGAAATAAGTAAAGGTAACTGAATGAAGATATTCAGTCATACTGATAAAGAGCTAACCCAGTTCCACTCATGCTGAAGGTAATTTCTCTAGGTTACTTAGTATTCTGTCTACATCGCCCCTAAATGCCCTGGTACGGCCGAGAGTAGGGAGAGTCCGCTCCCCCTCTCGAAATGCTTTCATATGGCCACGCGTATACAGCCCCTGCCAGGGAAGTCCTACTCACTGCCTTCTCGTGGCGGGGGTGTTGTTTACGAAAATGAGAGGACGAAAAGCGAATGCCCGGCGCTTTAAGCGGATCCCAAACCAATGGTGCACATGGGCTCCAGTATCCTGCGGGAACAAATGGCGTATGAACCAATCGTTGGTCACCTGCTACCATGGGACTGCATCTCCTTACGATGCTCCACTGCCTTGTGGATCAGATCTTCAGGTCAAAGGCTCGGGGTGTGGCCCCCCTAAGAAAACCACCTGCTTCTGTTTGGGCACCCGGGCAGTATCACAGCCCTCACACATATCAAATGAGATATGTGTGGCGCATATGTATTTGGTGCCTTCTTGTACCGATATTTATGTGTTAAAATAAATAAATAAATTCTGTCTACATCAGTGACTTTAAATAACGTTCGTTAGTGCATATTCTCATCAAATTTTCTTGGACATTAATGTGTCAATAGTTATAAACATGTACCATTAAATACTGTGATCGAATATTTAAGACACTACATTGTTTTACAAAAATAAACATCAAAACACAAACTAGTATAAAACTTACTTTAGGAGATGTACATCCAAGTATTTCACCAGGCGATAAAGGAAGACACTGAGGAATGGTAACTGAGTAACCGGCTTCTAATAATGGTTGCTTAGCAGTCTGCAAACTAGTAACAAATTGTATTGTAGAAACAAGGGCTAAGCGGGAAGACTTCTCAAAGTTAGCCTTTACACTATCTATCAGATGGACGATATCGATCTGAATATCAACAAATACGTATCTGTGTACGTAAGGATAAGTAAAGAAAAAAACCACTGAGTATTTTAATACAAACCTATTATATACATGAGAAACTACCTGAGAATTATGCATCACAGAAAGCAAGTTTACCTAACTAGATGTTACAGTTATAGCTATGACTTATTATTTGTAAACATGAACTGAACCATCCCGGTGACTAACAGAGAATAATGAGAACTAAAACATCTGTTTATACTATCGGTTATCTGGATGTGATAAAAATACACAACATAAAGTTTTTCATAAATTTAGGAAAGGTGGACAGAGGAGTACCGAACAAATCCATCTTGAACCATAAAAATTAGGACTTTTGGAAGATTCTCATTTATTACACAGTAAAATCGCATACTCAACGTACAGAATAATTTTTAGGATAACGCGAATACTATATTACTCTGAGCTGCTTCCAGAATGTCAACAGGAAGCACGGTACTTGTGACTGTGTAAAACCTACCACCAAGTAGGTCATTAATAAACAGCAGATAATTACGTTCCTCGTTTCTTCGTAAAAAGGATTTATGAATTTGATTATACTCTACTGGAGATCAGTGGCAATGTAAAAAATAAATCCCACTGTGTCATGGTTATCGAATCAAGAGCGGATGGTAGAAGAAATTTAAGAACAAAACGTCACACGGTGCTGTTTTTTAATGTCAAAGACAGCGAAGACTTCACACATCAACTTAAATGTTAAGGATATATATATAGCCAATCATGGAACAAATTATTTACTTAGGCCCCCAAATGTCCTGGTACGGCCGAGAGTGGGGAGGGTTCGCTCTCCCATGGCCACGCGTATATAACCTCTGTCAGGGAAGTCCTACTCACTGCCTTCTCGTGGCGGGGGTGTTGTTTACGAAAATGAGAGGACGAAAAGCGAATGCCCGGCGCTTTAACCGGATCCAAAACCAATGGTGCACATGGGCTCCAGTATCCTGCCTGAGGGAACAAATGGCGTATGAACCAATCGCTGGTCACCGCCTACCATGGGACTGCATCTCCTTACGATGCTCCATCGCCTTATGGATCTGATCTTCAGGTCAAAGGCTCGGGGTGTGGCCCCCTAAGAAAACCACCTGCTTCGGTTTGGGCACCCGGGCAGTATCACAGCCCTCATACAAATCGAATGAGATTTGTGTGGCCCATATGTATTTGGTGCCTCCTTGTACCAATACCTATGTGTTAAAATAAACAAATTATTTACTTAGATAGTAACAAATCAGTCGTTAAAATTCTAACTAACAGTTGTAGCATCTTATGATTTAGTAAATATCGGACAGTCATCCATACCGTGATTAACAGCTATAAATTGCTCATACAGATAGTAATGGACATATAAGACCAGTGGTTGCTGGTAGGAATGTATCTGATATAATCTATCAACTCAGCAGTAGAAAATTGAAAAGACAGGGAAAAGATTGAAGACAATAATCCAATAACAGTAGAAAATTGGCAGGAAAAGTTATTAATTTATTCCATAATGGATGCTACAGAGTGGCATATTCTTCATGGATGAAAGGAAGATAGTTTACGCATCGGGTGCGTTACGAATGGTTGTTATTTACACCACATAACATTTTTAGTCGTATATTAAGTTATCTCCCGGACCCAAAACAAAGGGCTGAAAACCGTGTATTAATGCTAAGCACGATACATTGATATCAAAACAATTTTCAATCCATTAATTACGAATAAAAAGCATAAATAAATACTCTGCAGCAAGAACCTACAGGACGGAAATTGAGTCCAACGGTATCAAGCAACTATGACCATAATGTACGAGCAAGTCAACACCAAGAGCTTTTGCAGTCAGCTCCTCTACACAACAAGCTCCATAAGTAACATCGCCCAAAATTACAACATCAATATCTTTAATACCGTCCTCAGCTACAGCAGTATCGTTACTAGAGATAGTAAGAGCATGACCTGAGGTTTTGTTGCTACGAATAAAGTAATTTCGAATAATTTCAGAAATCGGTATTGCAAACAAGAGCAAACCTTCTGGCATTTGTAAAGCGATCCTCCTGGCTCGAAGACAATGTATACGCCATATGGTTTTATGGATCTCAAAATTATAGTGAACTGGTAAATATTCTGATATAGATTTATTTAGTAAAGGATCATCTAGAAGCCAGTCTGGTATCTTCCATGGGAGAATACGTCTAGTTGGCATCTGTAATTTCAAATATAGGGTATATTTAAATACAAGTGGAATATTATATGTAGTGTTCAATAGTAAAAATGTTCAGAAAGTACATGAAATTCCACAATTAGGAGATTATAATCTATACATTTATATTGTGATTGTGAGGAAGTCTTAGATGAATTTTATTGATGGATACTTAATTTTTTTAAGGTTGAGTTACTCTACGTTTAGATAAACCCTGAAATAGAAGTAACAGTCAAAAACTTGAGGCCAGTAAACACTAAAACGTAATAGCTTCTAAGAGATTTAGAAGCACCTGACTATTACGTAGAACTTTAGCCACGTAGATATTGAAACTCCCATGACCCATCTAAAGCCAAGTACTGCAAATAAGTAAACAACAACTTAACAAGAGTAAACTGTCGAGAAAAGGTTTAGGAAACAGAATTCAAGTTGGTTACTGAAATTAAAAACTGCCGTACGGTAACAGACTCTAACTAGAGGTGATTTGATCACGGTTTTCAAACTATTTAATACATGAGCACTTAACTTTCCCTAAGAACAGATAATTTACGAAGGCACTCTCTAAAATTTTATAAGTCTAAAGCAAATTGTCAGAACAAAACCGACCATTTCACAACCCTATCCCAGCTACTTAGATTCGGGTAATCGGGTGGTATAGTTCTTCCTCATATACAAACACTCAAGGATTTGATTTCAATGAATTCCTTGTGATTAGTCAATTAGTTTGATTCTTTAATTAAATACGTGATTGGTTAGCCACTTTCCAATTCTCTCAGAATTAAGTTGGGCAGGGCTATAGTTTGTGAACGAACCAGGCGAAAACACAATGGTGAACTTCGATTTTGACGCTGGATTATCTCGCCCACACAGTTAAATAAAATATTGGAAATACAGATGCTAATTCATAATGAAACTCCCACTTACGTTTAAATCTAACTCGTGGACTTCAGTCCCCACCGAAACCCTTAGGCGTTGGACTACACACCAGTTCCTAAACTCAATATCTTTAGAAAGTGGTTGAGATTTAAACCTCAAATATCAAATCTACTTAAGTGTCGTTCATGAGTCTAAGATTACGGCCTATTATAGATCAATCGAGGTCTTCGAGCATGTGTATTAGTTTTACAAAGCAGTTTTGTTTGTTTGAATTTATGCCATAATTATTTATAAAAAGGCAAGGGGTATGGAAGCATCGACCTTGTGGATGCGAAACAACCGCCTAAGAAATTTTGCCAAGAAGTGTGAAGTAACAATTTGGTTGGTTTTTATTTTGCATTCCAAAGATGGTTATCCTGGTCGGGTCTTTCAGTTTCATATGATTCGAAGTACTACAATGACAAAACACAGTTAATGTGTGACCTAGGACAAAATTTGCTTAAGAGCTGTTGATTTATTTGGGATTCTTAATGCGAGTGTCAAGAGCTATCGATAGTTTGTTAACTTACGGCTTTCAGACAAAACAATGTTGCGCTGTTAAGTCAACGCCTTTGAAAATGCTATGTAGCGTATCCAGTCCTTCCGAGTTAGTTTGAAAAGTCCATCGCAAAATTATATATGCTACATATATCGAATCTTCACTTATACAAAGAGTAGGTAATCCAAGTCCGCTCTAATTTTGAAATCTGAAACTCAGTCTCAAATACTCAAAATACATGGCTAAGTCATATGAAACGCTGCATGTAATATTCACTCAATTATTACCGTATGAACATCATATAGTTAAATTTGTTATAATATAGAGACACAACCGGCCGTTCTCACAACAGTTTCAGGTGGCATGATACCGACTCGATAACTGAAAGTCATGTACAGTCATTTTAATCTACATGAGAGAAATGACTCCGTGTACAGTGAAACTACATAACAGTTAGGGTTCGTTCCATATGCATATGAAGATGTATGATGAAAATACCTGGGCTCATTTGATCGAATAGAGCTACCATTGGTTAAATTAATACATGATGGATCTAGTTCACGCTTGGAGGACGGTTTCTCACTGACATTTACACAGTCACAGTGATAGAAAAAACGGTTCGCGAGATTTTAATGGTCCGGGATCTGACTCTAGTAATATCATAGGAATGATTGTTTTTAAAATATAAATATCGTCTGTTCCCGCATAAAATTATCGACTCAACTCGCGTTAATGAATAACGGAATTGAATGAGTCAAATACGAATATGAATTTCGAATATATATATTTTATACAATCGTTGATCGGGAAAAACAATCAGAGAGACGTAGCAAAGGAAGCGAAGAAGAGAGTGTGAAACGAAATGGCGCATAGTGGCGAATGCACGTTGGCTAACTCCATTTAATTATTAATTAATATCTATAGTCACACAAAAAAAAGACACAGATATGTGATGGGTACGATAACATGCACGCATATATAAGCTCATATAAACCAATCAATGTTGACAGGCGAATAATTTACAAGGTCAAAACGTGATTTAAGAAGAATGAATAAATTGGCTTATCCGAAGGTTAGAATGGGCCATATGAGTTTAACATAGCAACCGACACAACAAGTTAAATATTCGGGTAGATTCTCTGTCAATCACTTTTCCATGCACTATACTGTCTGTATAACTGTTTTCAGTGGCAGTTTTCATTGACATGGCTATCAATTATTTCAGGAGCTGATGTTTCGGCTTAGTTGAAGTTTAGAGTTGACCAAATGGTTTTTTCCTCAAAGCCAGAAAAGAAACTCTCAAATACCAAACCAAAGACAAAGACAAACTAAAATGTCCGAAAACAATGATATAAAGAAACAAGTTCGGGTGTTGAGTAAGACAAATGCATTCAAAAACACGGAGAAGTTATCAATATTCAATACAAATCCTTTCATTCGACCAAATGACTTCAGTTCTCCTGTAAGATGTAGGGATGGCTTTTGCTGGTAAGGAGTGCTAAAGAAATAAAGACACAATGACAAAGCCTAAAAACGTAAGTTGCAGTCGTTGCGAACATTTCTTTTAAGTCAGATTAAAACAATCTGTCCTTTACTCACTGAAAGTGGTTGTTTCAATTGAGAAAATTAATCTCCTTGAATTCACGAAAATTCAAAGATCCCTAGAAAGGCTGATTGGCTGAAGTATTGACGCCAAACATCAAGAATAGAATGGTATTCATAATTATAATGTATTCTGGCTATAGGAGGAAGACGAAAAAAAATTTAAATAGTAATTGTTGGGGTATTCAGAAAATACCCCAGAAATTATCTAATGCTATTTCTGAATGAGAAGTGGTGTCATTTACCCATTGGTCAATATTCTTCCAACGTGTCAATTTCCCGTTGGTCAATATTAATTTGTGTCACTTCCTGGAGGTCAAATCTTATACAAATGTTACTTTCTATTTTATGGTACGATGTAGGCTGTTTGTTTGGTATGTAAACAGAGTATGTTTGAAATATAATGAATCATATCGCAGAGGCTGAGACTTGTGTTCTGGACTCAACTGCCTGGGCCAGACAGGAAAGAACGACCAATCAGAACTCTAGGCTGTTCTTATGTGTTTTAGGCGTCTTTGGTCCGATCGATACTTCGCTGTCCTCTAATCCGCGTGCGTCACAATATATAACAATAATCACTCTCACTGAGTCTATAGGAAGATATAGTCCAGCTCTCTATACCCTCCTCCCCACAAATAGCATTATTTAAGATTCTTGAAATACTCGCCCGCTTAGCTAAATGTCATCTTATACGATATAATATCGACCATCCTTCCTAGAGCGACTAAGATATCAGGAATCAAATAACATTTCTAGTCAGGTTTTAGATACGATTAGTACATGGTTCTACCTTTTAAATATCGGATACGACCATTCTATGGCTGATTCACTTGTTATTTTAGATTGAAGCAAGGGTATAACAAGGTGTTAAAACTCAAAGGTCTAGCATATATGATATTTAAATGAGCACTTGTCGACACTTAGGGTTTATAAGTTTGATGATATTTTTACTACAGTGCTTATAATGTGAGGCGAATTTCCTTGTATCCTTCTGGATAATTACCGCCTCACTAATGCAGGATATGTGGGGATACGGATATATAACTAGGCACTTGGCTACTGTGATACTGAACTAGTAACCTAACAACATATACTTATATCTTCAGAAATCAGATAAAATATGTTAACTTAAAAGCTTCGGCACTGTATGTGATAGGTTCACTGGAGATGAATGGCAGTGTTGTAATGGGGTTACTATCATCATCATCGCACACTAAGCGACGAATAACTGTACTGGATTACTCTTATCGGAGTGACTACGCAATGCTCTTATTTTGGTGTCAATGCAGGATGAAAACAATCTTATCACGTGAAAATTTTGTTTAGACATGAAGTGGGTAGAAAAATAAGATGCATAAGTAGCAAAATCTGCCTCGAGGCCCATTCTTATGATATTTGTTTTTCGATCCTCATTAGTCATCCTTCATCTTGATGGTGACAGACGAATTATTTGACCTTCCGTAATTTGCTGTCGGGCATAAAAGTTCTAATCGTTGCATAATTTAACACGATTTTACTAGTTCCACAAGACTTTACTATGAGCGAAATTTTTAAGGTCTAACTGGTAGGCTTTGGACACGTTAATTTCTCTACCATTATAAAGCATAAATTTAGAGACATTGCGGAATTATGGTCTAGTCCTACATTAGTTTACTTATCTTCTATGCCATAATAATAGGCCTCATCCCGAAGTCCTACACTTGTCATGATGTGACCCCTAGACCTATGAGGTTTTACATGGAAGTCACACCATTTTCTATTCCGACCCATCGAACCATGACAACAAAATGTATGATGTTTAGCATCTTCGAAGATCATATTTGGGCTGAGGATAGAATACTATATTTATTGTGAACAAGGATAAGTTATACAGAGTGACTACTCCTGCAAACCCAAACCATGTCATATCAAAAATTGTTACCACGATCACTACTTTTCTACCTTCTCCAAGTGTCGCATATTGGATGTAAATCTTCGCAGTATTTATATGCTTGGCTTTAAAGATCCTGTGGTTAAGGACCAACGCCACTAGGCTATCCTCTCACAAGAATCAACATGATATTGGTTTGATACCAAATTGGATGGGATTGTTGAGCTCCGGATACCAAAAAATGACGCGAATCCTCCAGGTACCGATAAACTGAAAGTCAAATTAGAAAATAAAGCGACAGGAACTGATCGAGAAATACATTTTTTAACTTCAAGATGTTTAGTTTTATTCCCAACACTTGTAAAGTGCAAATCTATTTGGATATTACTTAAGGTTGGGATTATCGTAACGAAGAATGGTTTATTATAGGTATAAGTAATATTAAGAATGTAATAGCCGTTGATTAACAGCAAAACTTATGAAAGCATAGGTATTTTGTGCTTAGGAAAAAGAAAACAATCAACATTGTAGAAATGTTGATACCGGTATTATCTTTGGTTAACGTTTATGGTGGTATTCGGTTCGTATGAGTTGATTTCCAATTGCGTTTGCATTAGTAGGCTGACTGAAGGAAAAAAAGTAGAGAGGAGTAATTCTACATGGTGTTTCAGCTAGTTCTTAATTTCAATACCATTTATTGATTTACGGGTAGATTTTCTATTTTCCATTGTTGCTTAACTGTGATAGAATTTAATAAGACTAATAATACATATGAATTGTTATCAAAAATGCTTTTAATAGGTGAAACTAGTGGTAATGAGAATTTCGGAAAGATAGCTGACGGTACTTCTTTGAACGTGCATGCATCCGTGAGAGACATACTCTAGACTTAATGATACGATTTGCATTGGACCAATTAGTTCAATTGACACATATTGGTAGATGGTTTAAACAAGCTAGTTGCAAGTACCGAGTTTGGCACAAGGTAAAAATTTACCAATTGAGACATTTTGGTTATAACTCGTTGACATCGGCAAAGGGTATGTGCCACAAATACAGATTACATGGTGCTGCACGACGATTTCAGTTTAATAAATCTTTACAAGATGACAAACAGCAAGTGCTGCTCACGTAATTAACAGGAAGAGTATAAGTTGTAACCAAGAGGAGTGCAGCTCTTAGCTCATATCTATGATAATAGAATAAATCTTTGTCAGTGTTGAGGTAAATACAAAAATGATGTTTATAGTTTGCAGGAGGTTTGCTCGACTGTCTATACTGATGATGTGCATGCAATATTGTAACACTAAACCTTCAATTAGACTAAAAAGGTTTCAAGATTCTTGCCAAACGATCA